GGGGGGGGGGGGAGAATTTGGTTTGACTGCATTCCATCTTAAGTCTATACATCAGATATGAGGTTTATTTGGAGGTTTTATTGAGGGGTATATCACAGTTAATCAAACTTTTTTTGAATACTTCCCAGGAGTGATTGACTGGATGCTCACAAAATGACATTGATGATAAATGGATGGATTGATAGAGGGTGAGTATTCCAGATTCCATTTTATCTCATGACAAATGCAAATAACCATGTACCAGATGAAAAAAAGAAAGAAACATACAGTAGTCTCTGCTAGGATCCCAGTGCTTGGGAGCAAGAAAAACAGAATCTCAAACTGGATCTTGGCCAAGTCATCCGAGGGTGAATCATGGTTAGGTTCACAATGGGTAAACTAATCTCCCCTTACTTTAAGATTTTCTGACCTGACCCCTGGGGTGGGTTTATGACTTATGGCGAGCCAAGAGTGGTTAACCTTCATGACCCACTTCTGCCCAGCTCTGTAGTCCCCTTCTCTGTCCCGGGCTATAGTCTCTATCTCTGTCCTGGGCTATAGTCTCCACCTCTGTCCTGGGCTATAGTCTCCACCTCTGTCCTGGGCTATAGTCTCCACCTCTGTCCTGGGCTATAGTCTCTATCTCTGTCCTGGGCTATAGTCTCCACCTCTATCCTGGGCTATAGTCTCTATCTCTATCCTGGGCTATAGTCTCCACCTCTGTCCTGGGCTATAGTCTCCATCTACTTGTGTCCTGGGCTATAGTCTCCACCTCTGTCCTGGGCTATAGTCTCCACCTCTGTCCTGGGCTATAGTCTCCGCCTCTGTCCTGGGCTATAGTCTCTATCTCTGTCCTGGGCTATACTCCACCTCTATCCTGGGCTATAGTCTCTATCTCTGTCCTGGGCTATAGTCTCCACCTCTGTCCTGGGCTATAGTCTCCATCTACTTGTGTCCTGGGCTATAGTCTCCACCTCTGTCCTGGGCTATAGTCTCCATCTACTTGTGTCCTGGGCTATAGTCTCCACCTCTGTCCTGGGCTATAGTCTCCACCTCTGTCCTGGGCTATAGTCTCTATCTCTGTCCTGGGCTGTAGTCTCCACCTCTATCCTGGGCTATAGTCTCTATCTCTGTCCTGGGCTATAGTCTCCACCTCTGTCCTGGGCTATAGTCTCTATCTCTGTCCTGGGCTGTAGTCTCCACCTCTATCCTGGGCTATAGTCTCTATCTCTGTCCTGGGCTATAGTCTCCACCTCTGTCCTGGGCTATAGTCTCCATCTACTTGTGTCCTGGGCTATAGTCTCCACCTCTGTCCTGGGCTAGAGTCTCCATCTACTTGTGTCCTGGGCTATAGTCTCCACCTCTGTCGTGGGCTATAGTCTCCACCTCTGTCCTGGGCTATAGTCTCTATCTACTTCTGTCCTGGGCTATAGTCTCCATCTACTTCTGTCCTGGGCTATAGTCTCCATCTACTTCTGTCCTGGGCTATAGTCTCCACCTCTGTCGTGGGCTATTGTCTCCACCTCTGTCCTGGGCTATAGTCTCTATCTACTTCTGTCATGGGCTATAGTCTCCATCTACTTCTGTCCTGGGCTATAGTCTCCATCTACTTCTGTCCTGGGCTATAGTCTCCACCTCTGTCCTGGGCTATAGTCTCCATCTACTTCTGTCCTGGGCTATAGTCTCCACCTCTGTCCTGGGCTATAGTCTCCACCTCTGTCCTGGGAGATAGTCTCCACCTCTGTCCTGGGCTATAGTCTCCACCTCTGTCCTGGGCTATAGTCTCCATCTCTGTCCTGGGCTATAGTCTCCATCTCTGTCCTGGGCTATAGTCTCCATCTACTTCTGTCCTGGGCTATAGTCTCCACCTCTGTCCTGGGCTATAGTCTCCACCTCTGTCCTGGGAGATAGTCTCCACCTCTGCTCAGTTGTATTCCATTTTCTTTAGGTCTGTACTTTAGCCCTTCGTCCAAGTATGCGTTGGCCTTCCTCTCTTTTGCTTTCCTTGTGCATTCCATATTAAGGCTTGGTGGGTAATGTTTGAACAGTATTTGTTTTTTCTCAGGGTTTGCCCAATCCAGCGCCACTTTTTCTTTCTGATTTCTTTATTATAAATTTATTTTCTGTTAATTTGTTTGCTCCCATAGTTCATATCTTATGGTGTCAGGCCAAGGAATTTGAAAGATATTTCGTAATCAGCTGTAGAGAGTCAGGAATCATTGGAACAAAAAACCAAGACAA